CTTCTCCAAAACCCTTTAAACAGCTTTACCCCACATTTCACCTCCCTGGGCCTCACCAGGTTCAGGAAGTCACAGCTCCCTCTCCCACAAACCAAGGGCTGACCTGGGCAACTGAAGCCCCCTCCAGCCCTGGCCTTCTGGGGCTTCTATGCGAAAGTCTCTCAACAGTGCCCTCTTGTGGCTCCTAATGCCAAGTTTCAAGACGATGCCTGCAGGCAGAGGGCTGCCTGGGGTCCGTCTATAGAAGCCATGGTCCCGTGTGGGCTGCAGCGACATTGTCCCTGGGTTAATCAGGACATGTGGTGCAGCCTCAGGTACCACTCCCCAAGAGCATATCCTCACAGATGTAGACAACAGAGCCAAATACCCCTATGCACCTGGAACACAGCCACTGCTACCACCACCGAGGTCCAGACACCGTTGTCCCCCACCAGGTTTCCTGCTGCAGCCTCCAAGCTGGCTTCCCGTGTCCACTCTCGCCACTCTATTCCATCCAACACACTTCAGCTGGAGTGGTTTCTCCAAAATGCAGCCTGTGGGCACAGGCTGCTGTGGCCACTGCCTTGACCTGTCCTCCCCGGCCACTGACAGGGCCAGGGGGCCCAGGACTTCACAGCCTTCTTGAATATGCCCTCAACCTGGCTGTGGTGCAGGCTTTAGCCACACAATTGTGATGCCCTGGCAGCCTCCCCGGCTCTCTGCCATCCGCTTCATCCTCCAGTGCTCTTGGCTGCCCATGCCACGACCCAGCCACCCTAAATGGCTTATGTGGCCGGAATGCCCCCACCTGTCACCTCCAGACTGTCCCCCGCTGCTGTGCCTGTGCCCGGGCACTCTGGCATCACCTCTCATTGCCAGGTTACCTGGAATTGTCTTGAGATCTCTGCTCCAATGGCGCTTCCTCCCTGACTGGTGAGATGGGGTCTGCTCACCTTGTCTTATCTTGATTTCACCCCAAAAGCAGAGCCTGAGGCAAGGATTGAGTGCAAGTGTTTTTTGGGGGAGGTGATGCAGGAAGCCCTGTGAGTGAGTGGGGAGGTGAGGCAAGGAAGGAGAGCTGGGATGAAGGATGTTGGCAAGAAGGTGGCCCCTGTGGGTGGTAGGGGCTCAGTCCTGCTGGGAACACAGCCCAGAGTCATCCCCGTCGAAGGGCGAGGGGACAGAAGTGCTGACCCACACCTCCCACCCATCATCGACCAAGGGCTGCTCCTGGGGCATCACCTCCTGTACATCCAGCCTGTCCCTGCAGTGGCTCCCGCAGCAAGAACACCCCAGACAGAGGTTGCTGGTCCTTGTGGCAATGTGGGAATGGTTAGCAGGTCACTGACAGGGCTCCTGGGCCCTCCTTGTGTTCATGTGTGCCTCAGTCATGACAACAACGACCCTCGCCTCAATTACAATACCCCCGCAGGCCAGTGGCATCCTGGGGACAGCATATGTCTTCTTATGCTGTCTCCCTGGTGCCAGGCATCCAATAAATATCTGCTGATTGAATAAATGATGTTTAATGTTGCCCTAGGGCCACTGAAGATGTGCCCCAGGAGAACACAGCTTCCATTCACTCAGGGAAGACAAGGGGCCCTCCATGGTGGCCACTGCAGAGATACGGATGTGCCCAAGATACCCCGAGGCCCTGGCCCACTCACTGTAGCCCTCTTTGTTCTGAGTATCTCAGACCCCCACATCTTTCTTCCTTGTCTCTAAAGTGGACCCCCCAGTTCAAGCATCCCAGAGTCTGGTTCCTGTTTGACACTTTTTTTTAGAGACACAGGGTCTTGCTGTGTTGCCCAGGCAGGAGTACAGCGGTGTGATCACAGCTCATTGTAGCCTTAAAGTCCTGGGCTCAAGAGATCTTCCTGCCTCAGCCTCCCAAGTAGTTGGGACTACAGGCATGCACCACTATGCCTGGCTAATTTTTATATTTTTTGTAGAAACAGACTCTCGCTATGTTGCCCAGTCTGGTCTCGAACTCCCAGCCTCAAGTAATCTTCCCCAGCTCCTGAGTAGCTGGGATTACAGGTGCGAACTACTGTCCAAGCCTGTCTGTCACCTTTACGTCCTCCCTTTGGTCACCCCCGGAGGAATGTGTCCTTTCCTTCCTGCCCAGGCAGTAATAACAGAGATTTGCTCACGGGGAGGAACTGAGTGGTTTCTATTTTCTTCTTTGTACTTTTCTGTATCCTTAAAGTCTTTCAGAGTGAATTGTGTTGCTTCTATAATCAAACTTCTCATTTTGAGATAATTATAGACTCACATACACATATAACAAATAATATAGACAGGCCAGGAGTGGTGGCTCACAACTGTAATCCCAGCATTTTGGGAGGCCGAGGCAGGCAGATCACTTGAGGTCAGGAGTTTGAGACCAGCCAGGCCAACATGGTGAAACTAAATATTAATATTAGCCAGGCATGGTGGTGGAAGCCTGTAATCCCAGTTACTCAGGAGGCTAAGGCAGGAGGATTGCTTGAGCCCAAGGAACAGAGGTTGCAGTGAGGCAAGATCGTGCCACTGCACTCCAGCCTGGGCGACAGGGTGAGACCCGGTCTCAAAAAAAAAAGAGAGAGAGATAATACAGAGAAACCTCACGTTATCTTTTATTCAGCTTGCCCCAACTGGTAACACATGGCAAAACCACAGTACAATACTGCAACCAGAATACTGCCACTGATGTGTTTCCAGCCACAAGAAGGCCTCATGCTGCCCCTCTATAACCACAGGCCCTTCCTTCCCACCAGACCCAGACCCTTCCTGAGCTCCCAGAAACCACTGATCTGCTCTCCATTTCTATACTTTTATCATTTCATGGTGTCATGCAGGACAACTAGATATCCACAAGCGAAAGAATGAAGCTGGACATCTACCTCATAGCATATACAGAAACTAAACTCAAAATAGATTTTAAAAACCTAAATGTAAGAGCTACAACGATAACACTCTTAGAAGAAAACACAGGGCCAGGTGCAGCGGCTCACACCTGTAATCCCAGCACTTTGGAAGGCTAAGGCGGGCAGATCACTTGAGGTCACGAGTTCGAGACCAGCCTGGCCAACATGGAGAAACCCTGTCTCTACTAAAAATACAAAAATTAGCTGGGCATGGTGGCAGGCACCTGTAATCCCAGCTACTTGGGAGGCTGAGGCAGGAGGATCGTCTGAACCTGAGAGGTGGAGGCTGCAGTGAACCAAGATCACACCACTGCACTCCAGCCTGGGCAACAGAGCAAGACTCTGTCTCAAAAAAAATAGAAAAAAAAAGAAAACACAAGTGCAAGTCCCTGTGATCTTGAATCCAGCAATGGTTTCTTAGCTATAAGCATACAACCTAAAGTCCATGCAACCTAGGAAAAAATAAACTGTGTTTCACAAAAATTTAAAACCCACGTCTACTTCAAAGGACATCATCAAGAAAATGGGTCTAGTATCCAGAATATACACAGAATACTTACAACTCAATAATAAAAAGATGGACAGACAATTAAAATGTAGCCAAAAGGCCAGGCATGGTGACTCATGCCTGTAATCCTAGCACTGTGGGAGGCAGAGGCAGGAAGATTGTTTGAGCCCAGGAGTTCAAGACCAGTCTAGGCAATAAAGCGAGACCCCGTCTCCACAAAAATAAAAAAAAAAACTATTAATAGCCGGGTATGGTGGTATGTGCCTGTGTTCCCAACCACATGAGAGGCTGAAGCAGGAGGATTCCTTCAGCCCAGGAGGCCAAGGCTTTGGTGAGTTATGACTGCACTACTGCACTCCAGCCTGGGTGACAGAGTGAGACCCTGTCTAAAAACTACATATATGTGTGTAGGGGCACATCTATATATATATATATGTGTGTGTGTGTGTATGTGTGTGTGTATCTATGTATCTATATATAGACAAAGTATTTGAATAGACGCTTCTCCAAAGAAGTTATACAAATGTCCAACAAGCACATGGAAAGACGTTCAACATCATTAGTTATTAGGAAAATGCAAATGGAAACCACATTGAGACACCACTCCATACCTGCTGGGATGGCTATCAGCAAAGTCACAGATGAAACAAGTGTCGTGAGGATGCAGGGAAATGGGAACCCTGGTGCACTGCTAGTGGGCATAGAAAGTGGCGCAGCTGCTATGGACAAGAGCTGGGCAGTTCCTCAAAACATGAAACACGGAGTAACATATGATCCAGCAGTTCCGCTCAGTTCCTCAAAACATGAAACATGAAGTAACATATGATCCAGCAGTTCCGCTCAGTTCCTCAAAACATGAAACATGGAGTAACATATGATCCGGCAGTTCCGCTCAGTTCCTCAAAACATGAAACATGAAGTAACATATGATCCAGCAGTTCCGCTCAGTTCCTCAAAACATGAAACATGGAGTAACATATGATCCGGCAGTTCCGCTCAGTTCCTCAAAACATGAAAAATGGAGTAACATATGATCCAGCAGTTCCACTCAGTTCCTCAAAACATGAAACATGGAGTAACATATGATCCAGCAATTCTGCTCCCAGGCGTACACCCCAGAGAAATGCAAACCTCTGTCCACACAAACACTTGCACGTAAATGTTCAAACCATATTATTCACAAAGTAGAATCACCGAAAAGCAGAAACAACCCAAAATTCAACCATCAAAAGAAATGACGTACTGACATACGCCTCAACATGGATGAAGCTTAATGCCAAGTGAAAGAAGGCAGTCATAAAAGACCACTCATCGGATGGCAGCATTGAGATGAAATGTCCCAGAACAGGCAAATTCAGAGACAGAAAGTAGATCAGAAGTCACCAGAGGTTGGGGGAGACGGGAAGGAGTGACTGCTTAATGGTGTGGGACTTTTTGCGGTGAATGTTCTAGAATGAACGGTGATGGTTGCACAACACTGTAAATATATTAAAAACCACTGAATTGTATACTCTAAGAGTGAATTTTACGACACGTAAAAGAGATCTCAGATTTTAAAATTCAATTCACATATACAATGTTCTGCTACTTAAAGTGAGACCCACCTGACACAGGTGCTGATACCATTTTCGGACCCTTGTCCAGTGGATCTGCTGTCCCTGAAGAGACACTCGGAAATGGCTGCCCTCCCCCAGGGACACGGAGATGGGGACAAGTCCCCCCTTAATGAAGGGAAATCAGAGGATATCATTTAAGAGGTGGCCAGTTTAGAGTTTCACGAATAACATTTATTGACCACATTCATAACAGAATCTCACCCACATTCATATGAACGTCGCTACAACCAAGAATCACCTGATGAGAAATAATTGGGTTGAATCCTGGGTGTGGATTCTGTTCTGAGAAAACAGTGGCTGTCACAGACGCCTCCTGATTGGAGGACTCTCGTTAAAGATCTTGATTGTGACACATTTTTGTGGATATTCTTGACAGTAGCTGAAGATTCCAACTTCAAATCCCAAAAAACTGGCTGGAAAGCAAAGCGAGAGACAGTTACTAGGACCCGGCCCCAGGCTGAGACCAGCTGCCTTCAGCATGCCCTTGGGGAACCTCCAGGAGTGGAAGGCAAAGGCACCCCACGGTGCACAGGGCTGGAGGAATCCCAGGCAGGAAAGGGGTGCGGGGACGAGGGGTGGGATGCAGTCCTGGCCACATCACTTTCCAGCTGTGGGACCAGGGCAAGGCATTCCACCTCTGAGTGCCCACTTCTTCTGAAAAGGGATGATAATGCTGGCTTTGCAGAACTGTAAAGGGAACAGGTGAAATGAAGGCAGGTCTCGCCCTGCTCTTGGGGGCTCCCTGCCGAGAGATCCTAAGTCCACTCTCTCCTTCCACCCCCGGCTGCTGCAGCACATCTCTCCAGGCCAGCAGACCGGCAGCCGAGGCTTCCCCTGAGATAAGCTGGGTGTGTGGCTTGCGGCACCTCACAGGGCACCCACACATCCCAGCCGGACAAGCTGTGCCCTCCCCTGGGATGCTGGTTGGTGCCTGCTCCACTGCCCTGGCAGCTTGGCTCAGAAGCAGACACCTGCTATGGAAGCGTACGGACCACCAACACCACAGGGTGAGTGGCTTCCTGGGACTTTCTAGACAAGCTGTTGATGAGGATGGGAAAAGATGGGGGCCTCCAAGTGCCAGGATTCGGGGGCTGGAAAAACAGGAAGCTGCACCGACATGCAGGTGGGTCTCCACCTGGACTGCACTTCTGGGGAACTTCAAAACAAAAGCATGCCCAGGCCCTCCCCAGAACAGTTACTCCAAATCTCCAGATGAAGCCCAGGCATCTTTCTCTTTTTCTTCCTCTCTCCTTCCTTCCATTCCTTCCATCTTACCAGGTAATTTGAGCTTGAGGCCAGGGTTCAGCAATTCCCTTTTGGGTTCTCTGACCATCTACTTAACATTGATCCTTCAAAATTGTTTCTTAAATTTCTTTTAGAGATAAGATCTTGCTCTGTTGCCCAGGCTGGAGTGTACTGACACAATCAGCTCACTGCAACTGCAAACTCCTGGGCTCAAGCAATCTTTCCACCTCATCTTCCCAAGTAGCTGGGACCACAGCACCACAGTCAGCTAATTTTTTTATTTTGTATGGAGATGGGGTCTTGCTATATTGCCCAAGCTGGTCTTGAACTCCTGGGCTCAAGTGATCCTCCCACCGTGGGCTCAAGCAATCTTCCCACCTCATTCTCCCAAGTAGCTGGGACCACAGCATTACACTCAGCTAATTTTTTAATTTTGTATGGAGATGGGGTCTTGCTATGTTGCCCAAGCTGGTCTTGAACTCCTGGGCTCAAGTGATCCTCCCACCTTAGCCTCCCAAAGTGCTGGGATCCAGGTGTAGGCCACCACACCTTGCCCATCCTTTAAGGCTGGGATGCGGGTGTGGGCCACAGCACCCGGCCTCGCCCGTCCTTGAAGGCCAAGTGTTCTTCTCTGCTCCTCCCAGTGTGGGTACAAAGGAGTCAAACAAAATGTGATCATCAAGTTGCCAAACACAAAAAGAAAGATAAATCCACAAGAAAAATGACAAAGGAAAGCTCTCACTGTTGCCCAGGTACTGCTCATGCTCGGAGACCACGCAGAGCTCACTGTACCCGCTCCCAGCCCCCTTCCCCATGCATGGCCTGGAGAGGCTGGCCCCCAGGCCCACAAGGGACCCATACCTGCACATCACAGCCTCAACTGTGACTGCCCAGGGAGCGGGAGGTAATGTCCAACTCTATGAGAATGGATAACCCAAAAAACAGGGGAGGGACTCCCACTCCCAGCCGTGGCAGAGTGACCAAGACCGGGCTAAGCTCCTGCTGTGAACAACTAGAAAATAGGGCAGGACACCTGGCAGCTATCTGCAGACACTACACATTTTGAATCTTCCTCTTCCAATTGCGTGGAGGAGACAAGGAGCAAACAAGTAAATGCATGTAAATTCGATGGTGTGGGCACGTTTGTTCACAGGTCTCCTCGTCCATGCAGGGTGACGCAGGCCTCCAGGCAGGAAGGAGCTGCAATGGGCAATGATGGGGAGGAGGAGGGGAGGGGAGGCTTTGCAGAGGAGCCACTGCCTAGGCCGAGAGTAAATGGGGAGGAAGAAGCAACTGTTCCCCGAAGTCCTGCTGCGGCCTGGGGAGTGGCCCTGGAGGCTTCCTGGGGGAGGGATCCCAGCAGAAAGCCATGGCTGTGAGCAGCAAGAGTGCCAGGGGCAAAACTCGAAGCCTAGGTGAGGGTAGGGACTAGAGACCAGGGAAAGGGGCTTTCTAGTATGGAGCCTGGTGGCTAGGGTTCGAGCTGGGGGTACAGGCAGGAGGTCCCTATACCGGAGGAGGTGCTCAGAGCTCAGAGGCTGGAGGGCGAGTGGCTGTTAAGATGCGCCATCGACCCCAACATAACAATGGAAATGTATGGAAACGACCCCAACATAACAACGGAAATGTGTGGAAACTGGGACCCGTGTCCTGCTGAGAGCAGGGCCATTTTAGAACTTGGGAACAGAGAAGGGGTGGAAGTGCCCCACGAGGCCCCCGCCGCCCCCAGACTGCCCTGGCATCTCTAGGTGAGGCGGGGCAGAGCCTGTGCCATGCAGAGCGCCACAGGACACACTCACAGCGCCCCGCCTCAGCTGCCTGTCAAGTTAACCCCTGCCCCCAACTCTCCCTTGGTCACCAAGCGTCCCTCAGGTGGACATCACCATGCCAGGGCCACCCGCTGTCCCCCATTCCCCACCTGCTCACCGAATGGCCACAATGACCCTCGGGATGGCCTGGAGGAGGGTCAGGAGGGCAAGGCGCAGCAGACACACTGGGCGAGCCGGTAGCTCGTCCCGGTTGGGGGCCTGGAGCTGCTGGCACTTGGGCAGCAGGCGCTCGTCACCGCAGATCCGCCAGCAGTTGTGCCAGGAGCATGCATCCAGCGGGGGTGCTAGGCACAGAAAAGGTGGGATGAGGACAGGGCGTGTTCCCCAGGACTCTGTGAGCCACAAGGAGGCTGCAACACCAGCCCCAGAGCCTCTGGGAAACGGGGACTTCCAGGGCCCAGCCACAGCCCCGGGGTGGGGACACTGATTCGGAGCTAGCGAGATAAAGGCCATCTTGCGGGTTTATGATTTCCTGGGTAACACCGGCCTTGGGGCTGTTTTTCAAGAGGCTTTCTCTTTTAGAACCGCATATGGAACATGTACAACATCTAACTAGGATTTGCTTCCAAATCATCTTTTTTGCAGCGGGAGTGGGTGGTGAAGATCAGAGGAACCACACTGGATAATGACTGGAGCTGAGTGATGCTGATTTAAGCCAATCTCCACTTCGGGGAGTATTTGAAATTTTCCATAATAAAAATTTAAGGAAAGCCACAAGCACAGATGGAATTCTGGCATTTCCATTTCCCTGATGCTCTTCAGCACTTTCCACACGGGGTCTGGTCAGCACATGATCCTCCAGATACCAGACTTTGTTTTTATTTTTTATTACACTGTTAATATGCTTTGTTTTTATTTTTTATTACACTGTTAATATGCTACTAATATAAAATATATACTAATTATGTTAACATAAATATCATAAATATACTTTCCTTATGAAAAATTACGGCACAAAAACATAGAGGAGAAAAGCATCTAAGTCTGTCTTTACAAGAAAAAATGTAAGATCAGAAATGTGAACTTTCGTGTTAAAATGGAAATCAGTCAGATTTGAGGCCAAAGAAAATGTCTCACAGTTTTAAATCACTCCCTACTGGAGGCCAAAGGGGAGAACGATCATAATTCTCTTGGCAGCAACGAGCCCTGCTCTCTTAACTCTGCTGGGAAATCTTCTGGCGTGAATGGGTTTGAGGCTTGAAACGTTACTTACATAAGTCACTTAAACTGCAAAGCAATGATTGGAGTAAAAATTAATGCTGTTTTTATTTTAAGTATCAGATACCAGATGATGCATGTCAACTAAGCTTTTAGCTTTTCTTAAAAGATGCAAAGTTTTCAAAGCCAAAAATATTTAATAAAAATAAACCCAAAAATGTGTGATTATACGGTTCGAAGAGCCGTAAGAGGTGAGCAGTTGGTTGGTGATTATTTGTTTCCCAAGCATTCCCCGACTCCTGCCTCTGGGGGTTCCACTCAGATCACTCACCTTTTCCAGGGACCCCAACCCCATTCATAGATTTACTCATTCATACATTCCATCAAAGCAAACCCACTGCAAAGAGTCGGCGCACCAAGGGAAGGACGTGATGCCGGCCCAGAAAACACAGACACGGCAGCCCTTCGCACCGGGAAACACCATCAAGATCAAGTCCAGCCCACTCTTTTTAGAGACAAAGAAAGTAATGGTGGGGGTGGAGGTCCTGATCTCCCCATATACTATGTCATGAGAGCAGAAATACACGTATGTGCCAGGTCACAGACAGATCAATCTACATACCAGGTCACACACACACAAATACGTAAATATACTTAACTACGAATACATAAGGGGACTGCAAAAAGTATGTAGAAGATGGAATTAAAAAATAAAAATAGGCCAGGCACAGTGGCTCACGCCTGTCATCCCAGCACTTTGGAAGGCTAAGGCAGGTGGATCACCTGACGTCAGGAGTCCAAGACCAGCTTGGCAGATGGTGAAACCCCATCTCTAATAAAAATACAAAAATCAGCTGGGTGTGGTGGTACGCTCCTATAGTCCCACCTACTCAGGAGGCTGAGGCAGGAGAATCGCTCGAACCCAGGAGGCGGAGGTTGCAGTGAGCCAAGATCATGCCATCGCACTCCAGCCTGGATGACAGAATGATACTCCATCCCAAAACAAAATAAAAATTAAAAAATAAAAAATATCAAGTTTGTTTCTCAACATAAGCTCCACAAGGTCAAGACACTTTTGTCAGTGATGACACCAACCGTTTAGTCCATCTTGAAAGAGCTGAGGGTCCTGGGAATTTAAACACATCAATGCAGTCTTTTATTACATTATTAACTGAAGAAAATGGGTGCCCTTTAAAGATGTTTTAAGATTAGAAAACAAAGAAGACAGAAAGAGCTGAATCAGGACTGTAATTTGGCTGTAAGGTGGATGCCTAATAATTTCCCATCAAAACTCTCACAAAGTTGCCCTTGTTTGACAAGAGGAATGAGCGGGAGCCTTGCTGTGGTAGAGAGGGACTCTTGTGGAGCTTTCCAGAGTGTTTTTCTGCTAGAGCTTTGGCTAACTTCCTCAAAACACTCCCATAATAAGCAGATGTTGGCCAGACACAGTGGTTCACGCCTGCAATCCCAGCACTTTAGGAGGCCAAGGCGGGAGGACCATGAGGTCAGGAGTTTGAGACCAGCCTGACCAACATGGTGAAACCCCATCTCTACTAAAAATACAAAAATTAGCCAGGGGTGGTGGCGCACGCCTGTAATCCCAGCTACTCGGGAGGCTGAGGAAGGAGAATCACTTGAACCTAGGGGGCAGAAGTTGTGGTGAGCGCAGATTGTGCCACTGCACTCCAGCCTGGGCGACAGAGCGAGACTACATCTCAGTCAATCAATCAATCAATCAATAAGCAGATGTTATCATTCTTTGGTCCTCCAGAAAGTCAACCAGCAAAATGCCTTGAGCATCCCAAAAAACTGTTGCCATGACCTTTGCTCTTGTCCCATCCACTCTTACCATGATGGGACCACGTTCAGCCCTCGACAGCCATTGCTTTGGTTGTGCTTTGTCTTCAGGATGGTACTGGCAAAGCCATGTTTCATCTCTTGTTACAATTCTTCAAAGAAATGTTTTAGGATCTTGATCCCACTTCTTTAAAATTTCCACTGAAAGCTCTGTTCTTGTCTGCAGCTGATCTGAACACAATGGGTTTGGTGCCCTCTGAGTGGAAGGTTTGCTCAACCTTGATTCTGCAGTCAGAATTGTGTAAGCTGAGCCAGTTGAGATGTCTGTGATGTTGGCTAGTGTTTCTGCTGGTAATCATCAGTCCTCTTTATTTGGGGCATGAACAAGATGAATGTTTTTTCTCACAAACTGATGTGGATGGGCTGGCGCTGCAGGCTGTACCTTCGACATCGCCTCATCCCTTCTTAAATGAGTCACCCATCTGGAAACTGCTGTTCTGTGGTGCATTGTCACCATAAACTTGTCATAAAGTATCAATGACTTTACCATTGTTCCACCCAAACTTCACCATAAAGATGATGTTTGTTCTGGCTTCGATTTTAGCAGAATTCATGTCACTCTGATAGCGACTCTTTTTAAACTGATGTCTTCTCCTTAGCACCTCAAACTAGACCCTGTTCAGATATGTTATAATAAGTTAATATGAGTTTAGTTTGGTGCAAAAAAAAAAAAAATCGAAATCCATACATTGTTTCATTGCTTTTTTTATTATATGCATTTTCTTTTCCTTTTTTCTTTTTTTTTTTGGAGACAGAGTCTTACTCTGTTGCCCAGGCTGGAGTGCAATGGTATGATCTCAGCTCACTGCAACCTCTGCCTCCCGCGTTCAAGCAATTCTCATGCCTCAGCCTCCCAAGTAGCTGGGACTACAGACATGTGCCACCACGCCCAGCTAACTTTTTGTATTTTAGTAGAGACAAGGTTTCACTATGTTGCCCAGGCTGGTCTCAAACTCCTGAGCTCAGGCAATCCAGTCTCCTCAGCCTCCCAAAGTGCTGGGATTACAGGCGTGAGCCACAGCACCTGGTATATTATATGCATTTCCCATAAACTTTTTCAAGGCCCCTCATATGAATACATATTGTATTGTGAATACATGAATGTGAGTATATACTATGACTATCATGAACATGTGAATGTATATACACCAGGTCACAAATGTATGAATGTATGAGCATATTATGTAATGAATAGATACGTAAGTTTTGTGTTTTGAATATACAATGTGCCATGAATATATGAATGTATGAGTATATAATAGGATATATATAGGAATATGTACTATGTCATAAATATATATACACACACATACTATGTCATAAATTATAGAAGATTAGAGCTTAATAAAACCACTTTAGGTCTCATCTAAGCCCAGGCTGGGAGTTGGCTTCATCCAGAAAGCCGCTGCTGGCAGATGGGTAGGGTCTGCTATAGAGCAGAGGTTTCTCTGGGCTCACTGGGGGAAGGTAGTGGGTGACCAGGGATAGCTGTTGAGCAGGGGAGGGAAGCCACATGCATGTCACTGTTACACTGTGGGCAGGTGTCTGGGGATGAGAGGTTCCCCCGCCATCCACCATGATGCTCACGAACCCCGCCTTTCTGGGGAGGGGGATGACATGAGACACACGCACACTGGAGTTACCTTGGATGCCTTTCAAACTCTCCTGCCTCCTGACCATCTAAAAGACAAGAATGGAGGCAAGCAGTCAGCCTGGTGACCCTCCAAGGGGGGAGAGCCTGGCGATTGGGACTCCAAACCTCCAGGAGGGGTGCTGGCTGCCTCAAGATAAAAGCCCTGGGCTCCTCCTTATGAGGCCTGCAGGCTCTTTTCTCTGAGGACAGCCTGCCACCCAATGATGGAAAACCAGCAACTGGAAGTCAGGGGGAAGGAAGGAAGCTCTTGTCTACCACCCAGGACACGGGGAAAGCAGGGGAGTGAGAGGCCCACGGGGCTAGGAAGAGGCCTGCTGCCGCTGCCCAGAACTAGCGCTATGGAGGCAGCCAGCAAGAGCAGAGAGGACAGGCCATCTGGTGGTGGTCCATCCGGGGCACCCTCCTTCTCACCTCCCTCTATGCAGCCAGGGCCAGAAGAGAGAGTCAGAGGAGGGGCCCGGCCAGGGAAGGGAGGTGGTGTGAGAAGGAGAAGGAGGAGGCAGGGAGGTGAGAGAGGTCGAGGAGAATGCAGAGTGGGAGGAAGAGAGGGAGGAAAGCAGCAGCAGCAGCAGCAGTGAGGGCCAGAACAATCAGCCCTCTGCAGAAAGCAGCGCGGCCCTGCCCTTCCAGTGCCAACTGGGAGATGGAGCTGGCCTCCCTGAGCCACACCTGCCCTCTGTGCTCCCAGGCCCATGGCCACAACTGCCAGGGGATCTTCTCTGGACACCACAGTGGGAGACTGAGCCAGCCTCCCTAAGCCACACCTGCCCTCTGTGCTCCCAGGCCCATGGCCACAACTGCCAGGGGATCTTCTCTGGACACCACAGAGGCCTCTGTGGGAGCAGAGCCCAGGTACCCCTCTTCCCCTTCTTCCTCCCGTCTCCCCTTTTCCTGGCCCCCACCTCACTCTTCAGTCCTCACTGCAGTGTGCACCTCCTCCTTACCTGCTGCTGAGACCTCAGAACCTGGGGCACCCAGTAGGGCATCACTGCCTGGTCCCTAGGCATCGGGAGGCGGCCCCCAAAGCGATGGCATAGGCAGGGGCACATCTTGGTGGTTTGGGGGATATAAAACTGAACCATCTTTTGACTCTAACAGAGAGGATGGGAGGAGAAGATTCAGAAGGGGATGGAGCCACTCCTGCCCCCAGCGACTCCCTGATGGAGCCATTCCCCAGAAGCGACTCCCTGATGGAGCCATTCCCCAGAAGACTCCTGGCTCGGTCTTAGTATCAGGGCAGGCCCTGGAGAGCTGTTCCCACTCACAAGCATACCCAACCACTCCAGAGAAGGGACTGTGGCCTACCGTCTACAACATGCCCACTGTTGGGAGACACGGGACCTCCGTAGCTCACCTGGATTCTCTACCCCTCATCTGCACCTGTGCCCTGGCAGAGCACACAGGTTGGTATTGGAAGACCTGGCTCTGTCCTGGCCTGGTGGTCTCCAGCTGGGGCCCTTGGGCACGACACTTAGCATCCCTGTGCCTCGGTGCTCTCAGCTATGAAGAGGGCTCTGCTGGCATCTTAACAAAGTCTATCAGGTTCTAAAATAGACAGCCTTTGATGCGGCAATTCCACTTGCAGGAATGTTTCCTATGAGGATGCTTTCACATCTGCAAAGTTACTATGCACAGAAATATTCGCTGCACCATTATCAGGAGTGACTGGACAGTCTGAATGTCTTTCAGTAAGAGACAATAAATGACAGACATCGGGCAATAGGGTATAGGCAGCCTTGGGAAGAATGGAACAGAGCTGTCTGGACTGACATGGAATAAACTCTGAGACAGGATGTAAAGTGAAGAAAATGCAGCACTGTGAGTTCAGTACACTACCATGTGCATTTTTCAAAAAAGAATGTGCACGCAATCGTATGTATGTGAATTATAGCAAATGACACTCTTGCCTCAGTTCCTCACTCTCCCTACAGCCCACCCTTGGCACTGTGACCCTGCAGCCTCTCCAGCGGAAGGACAGGGTGGTCCCACCTCTCAGCTGCGGGTTCGACCAGGCATATGGTTTGGGCAACAGAATGAGAAGGAGGTTACAGCAGGAGGAGGAGTTACAGCCCTGCACGTAGTGGTAGAGGCTATCAGACATGGGGGAAGGCCGGGAGCAGTGGCTCATGCCAGTAATCCCAGCATTTTGGGAGGCCAAGGCAGGTGGATCACTTAAGGTCATAAGTTCGAGACCAGACTGGTCAATATGGTGAAACCCCATCTCTACTAAAAATACAAAAATTAGCCAGGAGTGGTGGCAGTCATCTGTAATCCCAGCTACCTGGGAGACTAAGGCAAGATAATCACTTGAACCTGGGAGACGGAGGTTGTAGTGAGCCAAAATCATGCCACTGCACTCCAGCCTGGGTGGTAGAGTGAGACTCCATCTCAAAAAAAAAAAAAAAAGAAAAGAAAAGAAAAACAAAAACGGAATGCCATCCCTCATAAGCAGGATAAGAATGTCTCCTCACTGCTCCATTCAACATTGTAGTGAAAGTTCTAGCCAGTGTATTAAGCAAGAAAAATAAAAGTCTCCAAATCGAAAAGGGAGAAAGAAAGCCATCTCTACTTGCAGATGACACAATCATCTGTGTAGAATATCTGATGGAATCCACAAAAAGAGCTACTAGAATAAATAGGCTTAGCAATATTGTAGAATACAAGAACAACAGACAAACATCAGTTGTACTTCTAAATACCAGCAATGCAAAGTCATACATTGAAATTCAAAAACAATGTCATCAAAATTATGAAATACTTACGGGTAAATCTGACAAAAAAATGTATAAAGCCTATATAATAAAAGTTGCAAAATATTTCTGGGAAATATTAAAGAAAACCTAAATACATGTAGAAATGTATCATGTTTATGGGTCAAAAGACTCAATATTTTTCACAAGACAATTCTCTTCAAACTGATCTACAAAGCCCATACAGTGCCAATCAAAATCCCAGTAGGGTGCTTTTGCAGAAATTGACAAACTGATTGTAAAATTCACAAGGAAATGCAAAAAATATATATATATAGCCAACTCTGAAAAACAAAGCTTGAAAATGAGCCCTACTTGATTTCCAGACATTATAAAGTCAAGACACAATAATCAAGACAGTGTAGTATTAGCATAAAGATAGACAATTAGATCAGAAGAGGGTTCAGAAATAAATTCATACATATATGAACAACTGTCTTAGTCCACTTGTGTGGCTATAAAGGAATACCTGAGGCAGTGTATTTTATTAAGAAAAGAGGCTTGGCCAGGTGTGGTAGTGGCTCATGCCTGTAACCCCAGCACTTTGGGAGGCCAAGGCAGGTGGATCACTTGAAGTCAGAAGTTTGAGACTAGCCTGGCCAACATGGCGAAACCCCATCTCTACTAAAAATATAAAAATTAGCCGGGCATGGTGGCGAGCGCCTGTAATCCCAACTACTCAGGGGTCTGAGGTAGGAGGCAGGGGAATCACTTGAACCTGGGAGGCGGAGGTTGCAGTGAGCTGAAATCGATCATGCCACTGCACTCCAGTGTAGACGACAGAGCAAGACTCCATCTCAAAAAGAAAAAGAAAAGAAAAGAGGTTTATCTGGTTCACGATTCTGATGGCTGGAAAGTTCAAGATTGGGAGTCTGCTTCCTCTCATGGTGGAAGGTGAAGGGGAGCCCACATACGTTGAGATCACATACGAGAGAGGAAGCCAGAAAGAGGGGAGGAGATGCCAGGCTCTTTTTAACAACCAGCTGTCTTGGGAACTAGTAGAGAGAGAACTGAGTCACTACCATAAGGACAGCACCAATCCACGCAGGAGGGACCTGCCCCCCGTGACCCGAATACCTCCAACACTGGGGATCCCTAGCTCCAACACTGGTGATCAAATTTTATCATCAGGTTTGAGGGGACAAACATCTAAACTACAGCAACAACTAATCTTTGACAAAGGTATAAAGGCGGGTCAGTAGAGAAAATACAGCCCTTATAATAGATGGTGCTAGAAAAATTAGACTGTCATATGCAAGCAAACCCAATTCAAGGCTGGGCACAGTGGTTCATGCCTGTAATCCCAGCACTTTGCTGAGGTGGGCGGATCACCTGAGATCAGGAGTTCAAGATCAGCCTGGCCAACATGGTGAAACCCTGTCTCTACTAAAAATACAAAAAATTAGCCAGGCATGGTGGTGTGTGCTTGTAGTCCCAGCTACTTGGGAGGCTGAGGCAGAAGAATCGCTTGAATCTGGGAGGTGGAGGTAGAAGTAGAAACAACCCAAATGTCCTTCTGGGTGAGTGAATAGACTGTGATCTATTCATATAATGCAGCATTACTCAGTAATAAAAAGAATGACCAAGATCATGCCCCTGCATTTCAGCCTGGGCGAAACAGCAAGACTCTATCTCCAAAAAAAAAAATTCAATCCATACCTCACACTATATACAAAAATTAACTCAAAATGGATCACAGAAATAAACATAAAATTATAAAACTTCTAAAAGAAAACATAAGAAAAAACCTTTTCTGACCTCTGGCTCAGCAAAGATCTGTTAGCTACGACACCTGAAGCATGATCCAGTGCTGTGCTGGGGATAGGCACACCTAGGCAAGATCCAGAAAACATGGAATTGATAAACTGAACTTCACCAAAAGGTAAAACTTCTCTCTCTGAAAGATACTGATAAGAGAATAAAAAGATAAGCCAGGTCAGGCGTGGTGGCTTGCACCCTGATCCCAGCACGCTGGGAGGCCGACACAGGTGGATCACTTGAGCCCAGGAGTTTGAGACTACCCAGGGCAACAAAGTGAGACCTCATCTCCATAAAAAATAAACAAAATTAGCCTTGTATGGTGGTGCACACCTGTGGTCCCAGTTACTTGAAGGGCTGAGGCGGGAGGATTGCTTGAGCTGGGGAGTTCAAGTTTGTAGTGAGCCAAGATTGTGCACTCCATTCTGGGCAACAGAGTGAGAAACAGTCCCAGGAAAAAAAAAAAAAAAAAAAGACAGGCCAAAGACATGGAAAGATATTTAAAAATTGAATCTCAGATCAATAATTTGTATCTAGAATATATAAAGAACTATCAAAACTCAGTAATTTAAAAAAGCAATTCTTATAAAGGGGCAAAACAATTAAACAGATGCTTCATCGAGTAAGACATCAGATATCAAAAGCACATGAAGAGATCCTTGACATCACCAATTATGACGGATATACAAATGAAAACTATAATGAGATAGACACCTATTAAGACGGCTCAAATTAAAACGATCAGCCAAACTAAGTGTTGGTGACAATGTGGAGGAATTGGAGCTTTAGATACTGCTGGTAGAAATGTAAAATGGTGGAAAACAGTCAACAGACTTCTTTTTTAAAGTTAAATATACACCTACCATATGATTCAGGAATTCCACTCCTTGGTATTTACCCAAGAAGAATGAAGGCATATGTGCGTACAAAGCCTTGTACACAAATGTTCATAGCAGCTTTGTGTGTAACACATAAGAAGTAGAAACAACCCAAATGTCCTTCTGGGTGAATGAATAAACCGTGGTCTATTCATATAATGCAGCATTACTCAATAATAAAAAGAATGACTATTGATGCCCATGATTACGTAGAAGAATCTCAAAATAATTATGCTAAGTGAAAGAAGCCAGAGGAAAGAGTATACAGTCTATGACCTCATTTATATAAAATTCTCAGAAATGCAAATTAATCTACAGTGACAGAAAGCAGGTCAGTGTTTGCCTGGGGATGTCAGGGTACAGAATGTTGGGTAAAGTTAAAAGGAGCCCACGGACATGGTTAAGGGTTGTGTATATGCTCATTATCTTGATGGTGGTGGTGGGTTCAGGGGGGGATACCTATGGCAAGACTTACCACATGGTACATTTTCCACACGTGCAGTTTATCATATGCCAATCAAACCTCTAAAAGTCTAGTTTTTAGAAAAAACTGTTTAAAAATCACAGATCCTTTTATAGTTCATAAGTATGATAACCGGGCACTCACGCACATGTGTGAGGTGTGCCTCCCTCAGGCCTTGCTACGATGTCAGCACATTACCCATCTGACATGAAAATAAATAAATAATCTCAAACTGTCTCCTTGAAATGTTAAAATATCCATTCATATAATACTTCTAATTCTGAGGGGTGACTGGTTCCCTGACATTCACCCTGGACCCTCGGTGAAGACCTCCTGGTTCAAGTCACCTACCTGCTTTCGGGGTCTCAGGGACAGAGGGACCCAGTAAGGCAGTGCTGCTTCCACCCTGGGCACAGGTAGGCGGCCCCCGAATCTGGTCTGGCACTCACAGCAGATGGCCCAGGGGCCAGGGTGCATCTGAGTAAGATCCAGAAACGACAGCACTGAGTTTGATGCTGCATTTGCAGGGATACAGGAGGCTCTCAGGCACAGCAGATCTGTGCTCAGGAAGATGGTGTCCAGGGGCAGGTCCCTGGCTCCTACTGCAGCTTGGAAAGAGGCAGGCTACCATGGCTTGCCCTGAGGCCTCCAAGGTCATTTGGAGGGGGATTTGCCAGAGCTTGCAAACCAGGTGCACTGGGATTCTCGGCCATTTACTGCCATGCTACAATCAGCAAGTCTCATGGTCCCCTCTGAAAATGGGGATGTACAAGCAGCTTTAGAGCTTAAGGGCACATGAGTACTGCCTTTATGCCATCTGTCTCACTCTGGTCTGCAAGAGCTTCCACATCCATCCCGTGTGATCTTCGCAACACCCTCAGGCAGGAAGGAGAGGGGCTGCCATCACCTCCAGGGGCAGACGGAGAAGCTGATGCCCAGAGCAGGTACATTTGGTGGCCTCCTGAACTCTGAGGTGTTGTGACAGCCTGGCAGGTGTTCTGGAGGCCCAGGGATAGCTCCTGCAACCACACTTTTGTGTCTGGAGCATTCTCTCATGGGATGCAGCTTCTGGACCCACATTCTCTGCTCTCCTCACCCCACAGGGGCATGTTGGGGTCAGGGCCAAGTGGCTGAGGATTTGCTTTCCTTACCGAATGACCTGGGAGGCACACTTCTTTCTTGTAGGTTTGAAATGGGCTATTCCTAGAAAAGAAGAACAGAAAAGCTTAGGGTTTGTGTAAACTAGGGGGCAGGGATGCTAGGGCACAGGCCTGGGCCTGCCTTCTCAGAACTGACTCTTAACAATAAAGTCCAGGGGTGGTGGGGACAGGGGAGGATCCTCTGAGCCCAAGAAGAGTGAGGGTGACATCAGAAGCAGGTGTGTGCTTGCTCACACGTTAATGTCTCGGGGATCCTGGGGGCTGGTTGTCGTGGAATCTTGCATTCCCAAGCCACCCAACTTCAAGCTGACTCCAGCTAAACTTGTGCTTGGACCATCAGAAAAGATGGGAGCATTCCAACCTGGTGAGAACCTTCCTAGACATGGAGCTGCCAATCACATCACCTAGGATGGTTTGTCAGACACCCCCAGCTTACTGAAATACTGAAGGAAAATATCGTCAAACTGTCCATTAACGAACCTCCTTCTACTATAAAAACCCAGGCGCTTTGTCTCTGGGATGACAAAGCATTTGGGGTTACACAGTCTGTGTTACTCTTCCCTGTTCCACCGCACAACAAACTGCTTGAATGTTGACTGATAAAGCATCTCCAGTGGGTGCAAAGCCCTGCTTCCCTGACAGTGGTGGGTCAAAGTGCTTTGTACTGTGGAAACCGTAAGAGTGATACAAGTGTTTTCAGGTTACATTGTCATAATAACCGTTATTATTAGTGCTGTTTTTTGTTAGAGTAATAGATTCAAGCATCAACTCTCCCAGCTAATGCTTGAAAACAGAGGATAGGGGCATTGCCCTCCACAGCATCCAAGGCCCCTTCTGGTAAAGACAGCACTGCTATATTCCTGGTAGGGGAGGGGGCCCACACCCATCTCAGGTAGTTCAGGTGGGCCCAACTCACCATTGCCCAGCCTAGAAGGCTGGGGAAAAAAGAAACTCCTTTCTGTTGAGGTTGATAATCTGATAACATGTAAACCTCAGGAGGTCCTGGTGATCATCTTGCCTCCGCAAGGAAGCCAGTAAAAGGGAAGGAAGCTGAAAAATGGAGAGAAACCTTCCAGGACCATGGTCAGTGCGTACCTGGATACATCCATGCCTGAAGGCCTTTATGTGGAACCATCAGTTGCGTTTTTGTGCTTATGCCAATGTGAGGTTCCTGTGGGTCGCGGTCAAGAGTTCTGCCTACGTACAGGTAATGCAGCAATGCCGGGCCGGGAACTCACAGACGCGGTGTCAGGTGCCCGCGGGCAGGATTCAGGACGCACTTGCCTGCCATCCTGCGCGCCGGGTGTGAGTGCCAACCTGCAGAGCCCGACGCACCCCGCGCCCGGATCCCCGTCAGCAGCGCCCGAGGCTGCTCCAGTGGCCTCATGATGATGCTGACAACGCCGCGGGGGCAGTGGGGACCGGCTCGCACGCGTATGGCTTCTTATGGCTGACGCGCCCTTTCACACACACATCGTCCGCAGGCCCTGACGCCCCGGCTCCCGCCTTTCCCTCCTGCCTCAGCCCGAAGCCAGCCCGAGACCAACCCAAACCTCAACATCAAACCCTCTGAGGAGCCCAACAGTCCCCGCGCGCCCGCCAGTCCCGCTGATTGGCCCGCGCCCAGCCAATCAAAAATGGCCTTCTGGGTATGTGAACTTAGCTGGCGGCTGATTGGCCCCTCGCGCAGAGACGCGGGGTCAGCGGGTCAGAGCGCGGCTGTGTAGGGCTGTTATTCCCGCTGGGGTAGGTTCTGCAGACCCCGGCCCCTGGAGCCACTCACCATTTCCGACGGATGGGTCGGAGGGGCCGCCGGCCGCACCAGCCAGGGTCTCGGTACCCTGCAAGGAGAGAAAGAGGTGGGAGCAGCCCGCGCGGGGCCCTGCGTCTTGCATAGGCGCTTCTGGTAAAGTCACTCCTTTATAGATAAAGGAGTTGGCGCCGGATCGTTGCGTCCTCAGGTGGGGCTCGAATCGTGACTTTTAGAGAAATAGTGGTTTTTTTTGTTTGTTTTGTTTTTTAAAAAACAATCTGGGGTTTAAAGGCCGCGGAATTGGAAGCAGTCGTCACCCGGTGGCCTGAGCGTGCAAGCGCCGAAGCTCTGGCTGGCCATTAGCCTTCCCACTTTCGCTTGAACGCGTGTACTTTGCGCAGTTGCCGACATGGAGACAGGACGCATAAAATATTAATGTCTTAATATTTTAGTAAAACCCAGTGCTCTCTGCCTCTCTAATTATCTTAAGTTATTGCCAGTTCCCATTTGTATTTCTTGCAAACGGTTGAGTATACCCTCACTTTTCAGTATTTTCATGTAGACTCTGATACTCTGGATTAATATTTGTATTTGCCCAAACCATCACGAGCACCTCTAACCCTGATGGGTGATACTTCAGGGTGCTGCGTTCTAGCCACAGAGCAAACAGGGTGCTCTCGGGCACTGCCCTCTGGGATTTCTTGGCTTATTTAATCATTAAGATCATGACCTATGAGCAGGACTGAGTTTCCAGCCAGCACATACACACATCCTCTCCTGGCCAGCATCCATACTGATTAGGCAGTGCCCCTACCATACTAGCTGCTTAATATTTCAGATACCCCACCCCGTGTGTGTGTGTGTGTGTGTGTGTGTGTGTGTGTGTGTAAATCATGTTGTCACTGCCCTCTTTGTAGCTAATGACAAAATTATCTAAGAGTCTCACTATTAGCCTAGCACTTTATTTATGCCTGTCTCATTTCTGCCCACTTTGGAGCACTCGGCTTCTCTGCTGTCTCTGTTTTCCTCCTGAGCACAGTGAAACATTGCTGTAGCACGGCAGGGCATAGAAGACAGGCTCATGCTCCCCTGGACGCTCAGGCCTTCACCTCTGGCACACTAGGTCTTGTCATTCCATGTCAAGAATGGCTCTTCACTGCTCTCACCCACCCAAGAATGGCTAAACTTAAAAGGACTGACGATACCTAGTTTGTCAAGGATGTCGCAGCTGGAACCTTCATACATTGCTCATAAAATTGATACAACCACATTGGCAAACTGGCAGTATTTACAAAACCTAAACATATGAGTATCCGATGACTGACTAATTCCTCACCTCACCCAAGAGAAATGAGAGCTTATGTGTACCAGAAGACATTAACAAAACTACCCACAGCAGCTTTCCTCCTGATGCCCCCAAACTGGAAATGACCCAGATGTCCATCTATAGGAGAAAAGATTTTAAAAAGTAAGTGTGGCATGTTCACAGAGAGGAGATTTTGTGCAACAATGGAAAAGGGCACACAACCACAACCCGCAACAATGTGGATGAAGCGCACAATGAAGTCACACCCCAGAATGTACAGAAAATTCCACGTGTGTGATGTTCAAAACCAGGAAAGCAAATCCATCATGACACAGGCTGGGGATGTGAAGGAAACTCCAGCCACCCTGCCCTGTGTTCTGAGTAACAAGGCCTAGATCCCAATCCTTGCTCTGCCTCTTACCAGAGACAGGTATCAGACAAGTTGCCTAACTTTTCTGAGCTTTAGTTTTGTGTGTGAAATAATGATAACTATAGAACCAAGTTTGAGAAGATCAGACATGAAAGAGCATGAGAAGTGCTTAAAAACCAGGGACTGGCATGGTAGCTCACATCTGTAATCCCAGCACTTTGGGAGGCCAAGGTGGGAAGATCACTTGAGCCCAGGAGTTCGAGACCAGCCTTGGCAACGTAGTGAGACCTTGTCTCTGCAAAAAATTTTAAAATTAGGCATGGTGGCACATGCCTGTGGTCCCAGCTACTTGGGAAGTTGAGGTGGGAGGATCAGTTAAGCCCGGGGGGCTGAGGATGCACTGAGCCATGATTCTGTCCAGCCTGGGTGACAGGGCCAGACCCTGTCTCAAGAAAAAAAAAAAAAAGGCTAGACACAGAGTCCAGCACACGTCAGTTTGTGACATGAGCGTGCTTCAGGCTGGAAGTTTGGCCACTACCACTGCCTGTTCTAGGCTTTTGTTTCCAAAACCCCCAAGTAGAGGGAAAGAGGAACAGAATGAGATCTCTGTGAACCCAAGGTAATGGGGACCCAAGTCATGCCTACAGAACCTCCTTGATTCCAGGGAGAGAGTTGCAGGTTCCTCCCAGATCACACCTCCCCGGGCAGCCTATACCCAGACAGAAGCAGGGCTCCTGGGCACAGTTGTGTGGTTTCTTCACCAATCAAGGGTCCCTTGCCAAGAACCCAAGTGAGGCTTGCATTTCCCCCATGCTCAGCTCACCCAGTCATGCACCCCAGCCTGGGCCTTAGCCTGCTCCAAAGGAGCACCATGTGTGAGTTTACACGGGAGCACCCTGGGCTAGCAGTAGCCCTGCAGAGAGGCCTGACACCTGAGCAGCAGGAGCTACCCCAGACCAGAGGGGACCATCAACCTGGCTAGACAGGGCAGAGAAGCAGTGGGCCACTGAGGCAAACAGCCTCACTTTCACCTGCTAATGGCTCTTTCCGGCTACGAGAGTTGCTTGACCCATGTGTGGGGACAGCCCTCAGCAGTGACAGGGTGGGGTGAATGTTCCAGCCACTCCACTCCGCAGTCAGGACAACTTCAGGACGTGTTCTGCACTGGCTCCTGGCATCCCCCGCAGGATGGCTCCAGCCACCTATGTCCTGACCTTCTTGGTCATGCCTATTGTTCCGCCTCTTGTCTTCCCATTCCACCTCCCCACCCACCACCTATGTTTCCAGATCATCTGCCCAATAAACCACTTGCAGATCCTCATCTCAAGGTCTGTCCCCCCCTTAGGGGAACCCAGACAAAGACAGCCTCTGACCATGATGCTGCTGCATGGAAGGGCTTGTTCTGACTACTACGAAGCTCCATGTCACCTGCATCTGTGCCACACACCAGCGACCAAAGCCAGGGCTGGTTCAGAGCTGAGAGCAGTGACCCTCCGAGACCTGGTGGGCAGAGGGAGATGTGTGCCAGTCACTGATGCAAGAGTCACTGGCTGGCTGCAGCAGCATGAGGCTCAGCAAGTGCCAGCAAGATCTTTAGAAGAAAACACCCTGTGTGGATGCCGGGAAATGAGCAGGAAGGAGAGCAGGAGTGGCCCTGCTGAGGTTTCCAGAACACCAGGAGGGTGGCAGGTGGCACATTCCCTTCCAGACGCTTACTTTCCGACTCGAGATTTCTTAGAGATGTAAAGCTCCCGTGGAGAGGGAAAAGGATTCGTCATCCACTGAAAATGAAGGCTTAATCCCACAGGGAAGAGCTGTCATTGACCCTCTGTCAGGATTTGAAGAGGCCAGGGGTGGGGGACAGAGTGGGGACACCTCTCTGTGTACCATACAGCTGGTCGCCAAGACAGCATCACATCCTCGGCCAGGCACAGTGACTAACGCCTGTAATCCCAGCACTTTAGGAGGCCAAGGCAGGCAGATCACTTGAGGTCAGGAGTTTGAGATCAGCCTGGCCAACGTGGTGAAACCCTGTCTCTACTGAAAATAACAAAAATTAGCTGGATGTGGTGGCAGGTACCTGTATGCCTGTAATCCCAGCTACTTGGGAGGCTGAGGCAGGAGAATCACTTGAACACATGAAGCAGAGGTTGCAGTGAGCTGAGACCACACCATTGTACTCCAGGCTGGGCAATACAGCAAGACTCAGTCTAAAAAAAAAAAAAGGCATCACATCCTTTAGGGGGAAAAAAAAAAAGTGAGTTTTCAGCCCCTAAGGCCCTGTGGGTGGACGAGGAGCAAGGAAGACAGACACATCCTCCAGGAACAGCCACCCTCAGTGCTGCCCCAGCCCCCGTGCAGAGCCACACAGCCACACGGTGACAGTGCAAAGCAGGGCCTGGGACAGGTCCACCAGACCTTGCACAGTGCTTCCCCCAGAGGTTTGACGGGGGAGGACGCCACTTCCACACATTTGCGCATTTCTCTCTCTCTAGCTTTGCAGACGTTTCCACAGACGCACACAGCACTGCCAAACCAGAAAAGAACTGACACTTTGTCATTTTCTTTCAGGTTGGCTTGTTATTCCAGGATAATCTTGCCTAATTCAACCCATGGCAGGCATAGAAAAGGAGTTCTACAAACTCAAGTCTTGGAGATAAAGTAAAAATGTGGTTTTTAAACTGAAACCTAGGCTGGGTGTGGTGGCACACGCCTGTAATCCCAGCTACTTAGGAGGCCGAGGCAGGAGAATCGCTTGAATCTGGGAGGCGGAGGTTGCAGTAAGCCCAGATCGCACCACTGTACTCCAGCCTGGGCGACGGAGCATGACTCCATCTAAAAAAAGTAAAATGAAATGAAACCTAAATAAGAACTGTAATTTTAAAAAATCTTAGGTCTTGGCTGGCTGTGGTGGCTCACGCCTGTAATCCCAGCACTTTGGGAGGCCGAGGCAGGTGGATCACTTGAAGTCAGGTGTTTGACACCAGCCTGGCCAACATGGTGAAACCCTGTCTCTACTAAAAATTTAAAAATTAGCCAGCATGGTGGCACGCATCTATAATCCCAGCTACTTGGTGTCTGAGGCACGAGGATCACTTGAACCCAGGAGACAGAGGATGCAGTGAGCCGAGATCATGTCATTGCACTCCAGCCTTGGCAACAGAGCGAGACTCTTGTCTCAAAAAAAAAAAAAAAGAAAGAAATGAAAATAATAAAAATCTCAGGCCTTTCACTGGAGACACTTTTGGGGTCTCTTTGAACAGTCCCTTCCCAGGCTGGATCCCAGAGTGATGAGGTCAAGATCACCCAGGTGCCTCTGACTTGTGTCTGTTTGCGTTTTGTGTTCACCGCCCCTTCATTATCTGTGTCATGTGACCGATGCCCGTACAGACGTTGTTCTGGGTGTCTCTGCTGGTTCCTAGAGGAACCCTTATCCGTTCCGCTAGGGGTTGCTGGCTTCATCATCTCCCCTTATTCTCACAGTCTCTCCAATCGTGACAGTTTACATGTGTTCCAAGGGCCATCTGGGTCTTCCCTTACTTCATCTTTGTGCCGTCTGCTGAGGCAGACACAGCGTCATCATCCTCCTCTTTGCTGTTACCACAGCAGCATGAAAAGGGGCATAGCCACGCAAAACAGCCACACTCTGAGTTTGCTAATTTCCAGATACCTCTTTTACATGTCATCCTCCCACCCCCATCACATGGCACCGAGGACCCGCTATCTTAGCACTGTCTCTGAAATTACTGGAGTCCCCAACTCCACCCAGAGTTCGTCACTTCCCAGGACTCTCACGACCCCACTTGGGTTCAGACCAGAATGCATGCAGCAGCCGTCTCAGTGGGCGTCTCCCACCTCCACCTTCCTTGCCTGAAGACCATTCTCAATGTGGAGCCTCCAGGGGCTCCTGTGGGGCCCAGAGACAGCCACAGTCCTTGCTATGACCCACAGAGCACTGTGAGATCTATGTCTAGCTAATAACAGCACACACATGCACCCAAACAAATGTGCGCACACACATGCATGCTCCCACATCACACACCCGCACACTGATGCACCCTCGCCCTGGTTCCTGCTCTGCCCTCATCTCCTACTGCATTCCTCCTCCTTGTTCCAGCCTCGATGCCCAGTGCTGCTTTCTTACACCACCATGGCCTTGCACCTGCTGCTCCCTCTGCCTGAATTGCTCTTCCCCAAGTGTCTCAGGGCTGCCTCACTGCATCTAGGTCTCTACTGTGTCATCTTCTCAAGGAGGCCTTGACTGAGCTCCCTATTTAAGGTTCACACAACGGGTGTGTCACCAAGAGTAGACTTTGGGCAAAGCAGGTTTAGAGTTTTCAGATGATGATGACGGTGGTGGTGGTGATGGTGATGGTGATGATAGTGATGGTGATGATCATGGGGATGATGATGGTAGGGATTATGGTAATGGTGATGGTGATGGTGGTGATCATGGTAATGATGATGATGGTGATGATGGTGATGATGATGGTAGTGGTGATGGTGATGGTGATGATGGTAATGGTGATGGTGATGATGGTAATGATGATGGTGGTGATGATGGTGATAATGACAGTAATGGTGATGGTGATGGTGATGATGGTGATGGTGATGATCATGATAGTGATGATGGTGGTGAATGGTGTTGGTGATGATCGTGATAGGTGATGATGGTGACGATGGTGATGGTGATATCGTGATAGTGATGATGGTGGTGAGGATGGTGGTGATGGTGACTGATAGTGATGTGATGGTGGTGATGGGATGGTGATGACGATGGTGGTGGCAATTATGGTTGTGGTGATGATGATGATGGTGATGGTAGTTAATACTGTGAAAGTTTCTTATGTGCCAGGTACTAGTCTGGATGCTCTCTGTATTTAACTCATTTACTCCTCACAGTAACCTATGAGGTGGGTTACTGTCACCATCTTACAGATGAGGAAACTTTAAAAATTCCCTGTCTTGGGCAAGTGAAACTCACTAACAGACTTTTTTCTTAGTACCCAAACTGTGCTCCTAGGGACACTTGAGAGGCAAGAAGGATTTATTGGGCTGTTGCGAATTTCGGGAAAAGCTCCTGTACTCTCTGCAGAATTGCCCGTCAGTTTCCAGCTCCCCCAAGCTGCTCACGCGTGCAGGGGCTTGTCCTGAGTCTCCCAAGCTCCCCACTCTGTCCCTGCACTTTTCCCTTTCACCCTCCAACTCCTTGTGTCTTCAGTCTCCCTTTGCCTCCCCTAATTCAAATTTTCTATCAAGGAATGTGCTAAAAGTCTTGGGGGTTTTTGGGTTTTTGTAGGTTTTTTTGTTTTGTTTTGTGAGTGTCTCGCTGTGTCACCCAGGCTGGAGCGCAGTGATGCAATCATGGCTCACTGCAGCCTGGAACTCCTAGGTTCAAGAGATCCTCCCACCTCAGCCTCCCAAGTAGCTGGGACTACAAGCACACTGTGCAAAAGTTTTGAACAGACATGCTGCCAAACATGAATGGCAGCTGAGCACACTAAGAGAGGCTGAACTTTTTTAGTCCCTAGGGAAGTGCAGACTAAACTCAAAATGAGTTTTCACCACGCACCTCTCAGAATGGCTGAAATAAAGAACACTGAGGGCCGGGCGCAGTGGCTCACGCCTGCAATCCCAACACTTTAGGAGGCCGAGATGGGCGGATCACGAGATCAGGAGTTCGAGACCAGCCTGACCAACATGGTGAAACCCCGTCTCTACTAAAACTGCAAAAAATTAGCCGGGTGTGGTGGCTTATGCCTGTAATCCCAGCTACTCAGGAGGCTGAGGCAAGAGAATCACTTGAACCCGGGAGGCAGAGGTTGCAGTGAGCTGAGATCATGCCACTGCACTCCAGCCTGGGCGACAAGAGCAAGACTCCGTCTCAAAAAAAAAAAAAGGAATACTGAGTACATCGTAAGGGATGGCAACGATGTGGCACAAGGGGACTCCGTCTGCTCTGGAAAATGTGGCAGTTTCTCTGATGCAGCATGTGCTTACCATGTGACACAGCAGTCCCACTTTTAGCTATTTAAAGGAATGAAAACTTATGTCCACAGAAAAAATCACACAGATGTTTTTAGTGATTTTATTCATAAAGTGTCCAACTGGAAACTGCAAATATTCTTTCCGGGGACACAGATCCATTGTGGCGCCTCCACCCTGTGAATTCTGCTCTGCAGTCACATCGTGGATGGATCTCAGGGCATCGGGCCAAAGTCCCACATTGTCAGTGCAGTGCTGCTACCCACAGACGGGCAAACACTGGTCCTTGGGGGATGGGGGAAACACATCTTGCTTTTTTTTTTTAAGAGACAGGATGTCCCACTGTCACCCAGGCTGGAGTGCAGTGGCACAATCTCAGATGACTGCAACCTCTGCCTCTCAGGTTCAAGCATTTCTCCCACCTCAGTCTCCCAAGTAGCTGGGATTACAGGCGTGCGCCACCACACCTGGCTAATTTTTGTATTTTTTGGTAGAGACAGAGCTTCACCATGTTGGCCAGGCTGGTCTCAAATTCCTGACCTCAAGTGATCCCCCTGCCTCGGCCTCCCAAAATGCTGGGATTACAGGCGTGAGGCACCGCTCGCAGCCCAAATGCTTTTTAAAAGGAAGGAAAAAGGACAGCTCAACCCTTTCTCACTAAAGGGCAAAGGGCTGCTAGCTGGGCGTGTAAAATTGTGCGTTTCCCTGAAGTGTGTTCTCTGGAATCCTCTTCCCCAGAGATGTTGAAACGGAGGTGCTTTGTTTAGTGCGGTGGCGGCAGATAACGGCCACAGGACAGCTGCTCTGGGGGCCTTGGAACCTACAAATGCTCAAACCACCTCCCCAAAAGCCACAGCTCAGCAGGCGGGAACTGGGGTGAGCATCTCTCCCGACAGCTCCCTGGTGACACCGAGCTTCACACCCACCCAACCCATGGGAGCAATCCAACTTCATGGTAGATGGTGACCCAGTGGCCAGTGCCTCTTTGCTTTGCTCAGGAACTGGGTGGAACGTGCCCAGGGAAGGTGGCCCCAGAACTGCAGGGGAGCCATGACACACTCAAGCCTCACGGAAACCCCTTTCCTTGGGCCACAGTTGGTTCCTGGGTGGCGTAGGGCCGGCTCTGGCCAGTGCGGAGTCGGCCCCTGCTGAGGTTTCTGGGAATTACATGCCTCCCAGGTGGAGAGGAGGACAACTGAGGACACAGCATCTCACTTGCCTCTCCTCACACACCAGGTGCTGGGCCAGGTGTCACCGGAGCCAAGCAGCACACGACTGCCCCTGCCCACTTCCACCTCAGCCCTGACCCTCCCTGCACCTGGGAGTCCACTGTCTCCTGATGTATCTGATCGGGGCGGCCACAAGAGCACATATTCCGGGACGTGATATGTGTGGCCCATGTTGGGGAAGAGCTGTCATTGTTCACTGCCATGTCCCCAATGCTTAGCACCATTTGTCGCATGGGAGGTGCAGGTTAACAACCCAGTAGTGCCCAGTGGCCTGGGGGACACCTGACCTTCTGGGGCCTGTTGGCTGACAGGTGGGAGGGACTGCCATCCATCGTTGGGGCCAAGGATGCTGCTCAACCTCCCACAACGCACAGAGCGGCCCAGCACAGATCCCGGCCGCAAACACCAACTGCCGAGGTAATCCCTGCCCCGAGGGAAGCGGACAAGGCTTGAGCATCGAAAACACTGCAA